AAAAGCTCGACCTCCGCGGAGTCCCCAGCACAACCACGACCCTGTTTGAAGTTGGCACGGTGTACGTGGTCACAGAGACGAACGTCGACGACCCACTGTACTACAAGTACAAGCTCGCTGTCAAGGACACGGCGCCGGGCCACACGAAGGACGACCTTTGGCACTGGAACCCGCCCGAGGTGTGGTGGGGTCAAGGTGGTCGCAACGACTATGTCGAGTTCAGTGTGAAGCCGGCCGAGGCACCTGACGGCGTACTGGCTCCGCTTGACCGGCGGCCGAAACACACGGCCGAGTTCCCAACCGTGCTACACTTGGACACGTACTACCGGTCGGTGCTCGAGATAAGGCTCGTTGAGTACGCCGTTCCGAGTGGATTCGACATCGTTGTGCTCAAGCTGCCCGGCCTCGAGGAGAAGTGTCGGGGTTGGTGCCTGAGCAACCCGCAGGTGGCAGGGGAGGCTACGGAGGCAAGCGTGCACGTGGAGCACTTCGACGGCGCTTTCGCGGTGATCAGCAACATGGCGGGCTCGCTGCTTGCAGACCACCGCGTGCCGGCTTTCACGCAGACAGAGACGCTGGTGATGGACGAGACTCCGGACCCCTCGGTATACACGGTGCAGTCTATCACCCGCGGTCGGGCAGAGTACCCAATCGTGCATCGGATCGCGCCATATGTGTGTATGTGTTATCGCGGGATGTGGCGTTTTGGGAAGTTTTTTCTTCTTTTTTGGCCCCCTTCCTGCGAACGCGCACCCCCCAGGGCTGGGCTCTCTTGCCCGCAACCCGTCCCCGAGCATCCGGCCCGCTGGGTGCGCTTCTTAGCTCCCCGGCCCTGGGTGTGACCGGTTACCAACTGCGCACTCCAAGGCTCCAAGAACCTTGCTACAGCACTGCCACTGGATGTGTCCTGTCGAAGATATGGGAAACCCGTTTCTTTTGTTTCACTAGTGTACGGCATGATCATCGGAGCACGCACGGGGACAGCACGCTCAAGTGACAAGTCGCGTTTGCTCGGCGAGGGGGGAGGGGGGGGGGCGGGGCGCAGAGCGAGGACCGAGGTACAACCACATCAAACGTCCGCCGGCTCGACGACAGGCTACGTCCTTAAGCGCTCTTCTCTCTCTACGAGCGCTGCGCTGCCTCCGCCGCCGTCCTGGCTGCAGCCGCCCTGGCCCTCGAAGCGGCCGCAGCGGCACGCCTCGCGTCTGCAGCGGCCGCCGCCTCCTCGAGCGCCGCCTCGCTCCCCTCCAGTGCCGCCTTGGCCTCCTCCAGCGCCGCCTTGGCCTCTGCATGCGCCGCCCTAGCCTCCGCCCTCGCCACCTCGGCATCCGCCAGCGCCGCCTCGGCCGCCGCCTCTTCCTCCTCGTCCGCCTCTGCCTCCTCCTCCGCCTCGTCCGCCTCAGCGTCCAAGCGCATCGCCTCGGTCACCTCTGCCGACGCCGCCGCCTGGCTCTCCGCCATGATGCCGAGCCGGATCCGCTCCTCGTGACACTGCTCGAGAAGCCTGATAATTCTCTCCTCCTCGGCCTTCTTTGCGGCCTCGGCTGCGTCTGCCTCCGACGGCGCCTCGGCACCCTCCTCTGTCTTCTGCGACGGCCCAGCCCCGCCGCTCCCTCCGCCCTTCTTCTTCTTCTTGCCCTTTTTGCCCTTGGCGCGCTTCTCCGCCTCGACCTCCGCCAGCAGCTCCTCGGCGTGCCTCGCCGCCTCCTTCTCCTCCGCCGCCCTCTCTGCCGCCCTCTCTGCCGCCCCCGCCGCCCACGCCGCCTCCTTCGCCACCGCCTTCTCGGCCGCCGCCTTGGCCGCCGCATGCTCCTCGAGGGCACGCGCACACTCGGCGTGGCCCTTCTCCTTGGCCCATTGCAGCGCGGTCTTGCGCTGCTTAGTGCACAGCTTCGTATCTGCGCCCGCCCGAAGCAGCTGACGCACGACGTCGGAGTGGCCGAAATAAGCGGCTTGAATCAGCGCAGTGCTGCCTCTGCTGGCCTGCAGGTCGATCGGCGCGCCGTGCCGAATGAGCGTGTCTACCATCCGCTCGTGGCCGTAGGCGGCGGCGTCCATCAGCGCAGTGCCGCCTCTGCTGTCCTGACGGTCGACCTCCGCGCCGTGCCGCAATGCCAGCTCGGCCAGCTTCTCGCAGCCGTTCACGGCGGCGATGCTCAGCGCGGTGCCACCGTCGCTGTGCTGCAACGAGACATCCGCACCGTGCCGCAGAAGCGCCTCGGCCAGCCCCGCGTGGCCGTAGGCCATTGCGACCATCAGCAGCGTTATGCCGCTCTTATGGTAGCCGCCAGCACCAAAGGTGTGCTCGAACGTCGCGTTGACCCGCCCGCCGCCGTCGAGCCACGCCAGCGCCGTCGTCGTTTCTCCTTTTTTAGCCGCAAGCACGACCTCCTCTGGCACCGCCCCGCCGCTCGGCTCGGACGCAGCGCCGCCCTTGCCACTCGAAGCAGAAACCGCAGCACCGGCGCCTGCCTCCGCCTCGCCTGCGGGTGCACCGCCCGCCCCTGCGCCTGCCGCCTCGGCCGACGGCGTTTTGCTCCGCGCCACCGCCACCTCCCCGAGGTACGTCCTGAAGGACTCGACGCACTCGGCGTGGCCCTTCTCCCTGGCAATCTGCAGCGCCGTCTTGTCGTCGCCCGCAGAGCGCAACGCCATGTCCGCACCCGCTCGCAGCAGGCGGAGCACCACGGCGGGATGGTTGGCCTCGGCGGCGAACATCAGAGCGGTGACGCCTTTGCTGTCCTGCAGGTCGACCTCTGCGCCGTGTCGAATCAGCGTGTCGACAACCCTCTCCTTGCCGCAGCAGGCAGCACCCACCAGCGCAGCGCAGCCGTTGCTGTCTAGCTGGTCGATCTCCGCACCGTGCCGCAATGCCAGCTCGACCAGCTTCTCGTGGCCGATCACGGCGGCGAGAGTCAGCGCGGTACTGCCGTCGCTGGTCTGCAACGAGACATCTGCACCGCGCCGCAGAAGCGCCTCGGCCAGCGCCCCGCGGCCGTGGGCCATCGCGACCATCAGCAGCGTCGTGCCGCTCATACAGGAGCCGCCACCAAAGGTGTGCTCGAACGTCGCGTTGACCCGCCCGCCGCCGTCGAGCCACGCCAGCGCCGTCGTCGTTTCTCCTTTTTTAGCCGCAAGCACGACCTCCTCTGGCACCGCCCCGCCGCCAACAACGGGCTCCATTTGCGACGACGGCGCCTCACAAAGAAGAAAAACCCGCGCGGCTACGGTGTGCCTCGCCTGCTTCGCCGTCTCGTCCACCCGCAGCCGCTCCCGCCGCTCCCTCTGGCCCTCCCTCGCCGCCGGAAGGGCGCAGTTCGGGCCGCTCTCCTCCACGCCGGCCAGCACGTCCGCGGCGCTCACCGCCTCGACGTCCGTCGCCTCCTCCGCCGCCGGCTCGGTCGAGCCGCCCGCCGCCTCGCGTAGTCGGCGCTGCCGCTCGCGCTCGTGGTGTGCTGCTCGGCGCCTGACGCCGCCACCCTCGCACAACACGCCGCCTGCGGTGCCATCTCTGCCATCTCGCCGCGAAGGCCGACCCCAAATTTACACAAACTCCGAGGAAGTCCCTTCGATATGCCCTTCGAACGCGCGAAAGCGCAGGCTTTCGAAACCCGGCGCCCTGAGCTGTCCGATCTTCTGAGTCCCACTATTTACATACAAAAAAACGAACGCCGTTTTCTGTGCTTTCGTCACAACTCTCACAAAATGCGTTCTCGCGCTTTTTTGCTCTCTGGGTGCAAATATAAGGCTCGTCTTCACGGCGATGGCGGCGGAGATGGGCGACATCTACCACCAGATGAATTCGACCCACTTTTGGGTCTCCAACGTGACCGCCGACGACGAGCCCGCAAGCCACCGCAGGGGCCGGGACAAGCCGCCGCCGCCGCAGCGGGCCAACCTCAACGCGCTGCTGCTCGGGCTCACCTTTGCCGCCGTAGGCGCCGGGATGCTCCTCGGCCTCGCCTCGCTGGCCGCGCGACGCTCGGTCGCTCGCCGCCCGCGAGAGAAGGCGGACTAGCACTCCCCACCCCCCTTTTACCTCTTAAGAAAGAAAGAAAGAAAACAGACAACCCAAGGGAGGGATGGGAGAACGGCACGCCGCCACCACACAGGGATTTTAAGGAGAGGAGTGTTTCAGAGTGTGATGCGCTAGCCGTCGCCCACCCTGGGGAGTCTGCCTCTTCGTATCTCTTTTCGCAGTCTCTCGCCGCTTCTCGCTGCAACCTTCATGCCACCTCGCGGCCGTCCCACGGTCCTCTTCCCAGCTCCGCTGAGGGCGAGGCGTTATTTCTTTTTGCACTCACTCACTCACTCACACGCACACACACACACACACACACACACACACACACACACACACACGCACACACACACACACACAGGAGCGGAGCGAGGCGCGGGCGGTGCGAGGCGGCGGCGCGGGTGCGCGGCTCGATTTAATTGTTAACCTTGGGTAACCTCGAGTAATATGAGTTCGAGTAATACGAGTTGACCTCGAGTACTGTTATATGATAGTAATAGAGCAGTTTGGTCGGAGGGCGCCCGGGTCGCCCCGGAGCGGCCCCGTGCGGGGAGGTGGGTGGAGGGCGGGCGCCACGCCGTCGGGCAGGCCGCGCGGGGACGCAGCCGGGGCCAGCGCGCGGCGCTAGAGGGCCGGGCGCAAACTTGTTGGACCAAATCCGCATTTCGGGCGCAAACTTGTTGGGTCGGCGAGTTTTGGTGGTTCGAAATGCGGATTCCACGTCCTGACCTAATTAATTAAGTAATTAATTACTCAGCCGACCCCAGGCCCCCCCCGGGGCCCTCCGGTCTCGGCCCTCCGGCTCGCCGGCGGGTTCGTTGTTGTGTTGCGGCAACTCCCCCCTCCCAGCTCCTTCGCCCGGGTACGCCAGCCTCCGGCGGGGCGGTTCCGGATCCCCCAGGTTATTCCGAGCGGGTCCACATCCTAGCCTTATTTTCTTTTTGGGGACATCCCTGCATTCCGCCTGGCGACAGTGTGCATGCCAGCACCGCCGCCCAAACCCGTCCGCCGACCTCTCGACCTGCCCGGCCTGGGAAAGACGTCGCACGCCCGCCAGGCCTTTGTCATATCTTGGGTATCGGTCACGCTTTCGGTCGTTGCGGCGGCGGTCGGCATCTGGCTCTCCATCGTAGAGGGCTCGCTCGTAGATGCGGAATCGGTGTCCCTGTTGACGCGCCGCTTGGACACGCGCAGTGAAGGGCTTTGCGAGTTGTCTCACGGCCTTCTCTGCGGTAAAGATGCACGACGCAGTCAAGAATCGACTGCCACACCGTCGTGGTATGGGTGGACGCTGGACGGATGCTGACGGCCACAGAAGCGACACACAGGCCACACAACACAAGGCACTCAGACAGCGGTGCTACCCACACGTCCTGAGACAGTCATGGCTGCTGCAATCTTCTCTAGGTTCGACACTCACACCGCTCACACCGTTTAATGCCGTGGGGCTCCTGTCTCTTAGACGCCGAGTCGCGAGGGCACCTGGCCCTTGCCCCACCATTTTCGTGTGTGTGTGAGAGAGAGAGAGAGGAGAAGCTCACTTACCTTCACTGTCCTTACCTTACATTAGGCTCGACCGCGACGCTCGGGTTCGCTCTTGAGAACTCTGTCGACGCCTTCTCGAGCGGCCTCTGCCTGCGGACCTAGAAGCGGAGCACGCATGCTTGTCTCCCAACCAGCGCTCGAGAGGACACGCACTCCCCATATCTCCCCACATCTCCCCACATCTCGCAGTCCAAGCTGAGGCCGTCCCCAGAAGCGGAGCACGTGTTCTTGTCTCCCAACCAGCGCTCGAGAGGGCACGCACTCCGCCGTAGTCAGCCGCGTGCCGCGGTGCTCACTGCACTCGCAGCCCCGTGTGCTCACGCGCAGCTCTGCGTACTCTGCGCAACACCGTGTCCTCACCCTGATGCGGGCGCCTCTTCCTCACGCACACACACACACACACACACACACACACACACACACACACACACACACCGCTCACCCACGCGCACTGGGCCTTGCACTTTGAATGCCGTGCTAGCTCCTGTCGTTAGACGTGGAGACGCGAGGGCCGCCCCCCCCTTGCCCCACCACCTCGTGTGTGTGGAGAAGTTTGCCTTACCTTACCTTACCTCTTCATCACGCAGGCCAGTGGCGCTAGAAGCGGAATACGTGTTCATGTATCCCAACTAGCGCCCGAGAGGACACGCACTCAGCCGTATTCGGCCGTATTCAGCTGTATTCACTGTACTCGCCTCCCTCGTACTCACGCGGTGCTCTGAATACGCTGCACAATACCGTCTTCCCGCCCTGATGTCGGCGTCTTCAACACGCAGGCCTGTGGCGCTTCTGGGGCGCGGCTCGTCCGTGCCGGAGACGGCTGCTGTGAACGGCGTCTCCTCACACCTCCAGCTGTGAAACAGGCGGCGGCGCGTCCGTGTCGGAGAACGGCTCTAGATGAGGGACACGGACTCTTGTCTCCCAACCAGCACTCGAGAGACACTGCTCCGCTGCACTCCGCTGTATTCCTATCCGTTGTCTTCACGCGGTGCTCTGATGGCGCTGCACAACACCGTCTTCCCGCCTTGATGCCGGCGTGTTCAGCGCGTCGGCTCTAGTGTGCGCGCTCTGGCAACCAGGCGTATTCGCGCCCTCATGTCGGCGTATTCAGCACGTAGGAGGGGGAGCTCGAGCGGCGAGAGAAGCGGGCGTCGGTCGGCATCGCCGCGCTCTTTGTGGTGGGCTGCTTAGACCCCCATATCTCCTCATACCTCCCCATATCTCCCCACATCTCCCGATAGCATCGCCGCTCTGTGTGGTGGGCTGTCTAGATCCCCATATCTCCCCATATCTCCCCATATCTCGCCATATATCCCGACATCTCCCCAACTCTCCCGACATCTCCCCGCCGCGCTCCTCGTGGTCGCTCGCCTTTTGGATTTGGAGATGAGCCGAACGGTCGCGGCACCTTCCGGGAAACTTCCTGTGGATGGAACTCCCCATCTCGCCATATCTCCCCATATCTCGAGGCCTAGGTGCGGAATACAGACTCCCCACCTCGCCATCTCTCCCCACATCTCCCCACATCTCCCCATCTCCCCGGCGCAGGTGCTCGCCTTTGTGGTTGGCGGGATGGCGATCGAGCACCTGCAGCACGAGCACGAGGAGGAGGGCGAGCCCGGGGAGGCACTTCTCTACCTCTCCATACCCGGCTTCGTCGTCTTTGCGCTGCTCGGCCTCATCAAGCTCCGCCTCGGCTATAAGACCAGGCCCGCCATATCTCCCCCCATATCTCCCCCCATATCTCCCCACATCTCCCCACATCTCCCTACATCTCCCCACATCGCCCACACCGCCCACACCTCCCACACCTCCCACACCTCCCACACCTCCCATACCTCCCATATCTCCCATATCTCCCCAAAGACCCGCGCTGTGAACAGGTCCGCCTCGATAAAGAAGGGCCCCATTTGCTCGTTGATGGGAAAGGTCCCCCCCTTTGCACGCCCCCCCCCCCTGGTGTCTCTCTCTCCCTCTCCCTCGGTCTCTCCCTCTCTCTCCCTCCCTCCCTCCCTCCCTCCCTCCCTCCCTTCCTCCCTCCCTCTCTCCCTCCCTCCCTCCCCCCCTCCCCCCCTCCTGTTCTCGATGACCCGAGATTGCACGAGATCGCAGGCGCCGCCCTCTCCCTCTGCGTCGCCATCGGCAACCTACTGGTGCGCGTGTCTTCTTCTTGGTGGTGGTTCGACGCCGCCTGCGCGCTGGTGGCGTCGCCCCGCCTGCTGCTGCTTGGGCTGTGCACGACCTGTGAACGGCGTCTCTTCACACCTCCAGCTGTGAACCAGGTGGCGTCGCTCGGCCTGCTGCTATTTGGGCTGCACGACCTCTGGAACAACGCGGCGAAGGGCCACAGCTGGTGGAGAGCGCGCTTCTGGGGCACTCCAGCCTAGCTGCGGAATGCCGACTCCCCATCTCGCCATATCTCCCCATATCTCGAGGCCTGGATGCGGAGCAAAAACATACAGAGGGTCTCTGCCTAGCACCCGAGAGGGCATCAGCGTTCCGCTGATTCCCCTCCATTGTGGCCTCTGCAGTCGCTCGCTGCTACTGCTTCATTGCCGGCACTCACTGACTGCAATTCTCATCATTTCAGGTACCCCGAGCAGACAGCGGCAACGCGGTCGCAAGCCGTCCGCGCAGCAGGGCAGCCGCAGCGGCGGCGGCGGCGGCGGTGGCGGCGGCGGCGGCGGGGGAGGCTTTGTGGAGGTGTCGCTTGGAGGCGGCGGCGGAGCGCTGGCCGCTCCGCTAGACGGAGACGCGGGCGCGGAGGTTGAGGTGTTGGGGGTGTGAGGCGGCGCGGCCTGTGTGTATTCAGTGACAATCGTTCACTTGTTGTACGGCTTTAAGGTACCAAGGGTAAACTTCTCCCGCACACACACACACACACACACACACGGTGGTGTGTGGGGCAAGGGGACTTCTCTCCTAGACCACACACAAACAAAGTGGGCAGTGGTGGGGCAAGAGGGGGCGTCCACCCTCGCACATGAACTCCACGGCTCCGGGTCGCGACCGTTTCACTGCTGTCGATGCGCGCCTGCTTCGAGAAGTCGCTGCCCTGCCTCCAACGCCGCGACGTCCCGACGCCCGCCGACACCGCCGCTCCAACGCAGCCGGCCGCCGCCCTCCCCTCCGCCACCGATCTCGGCGTGAGCGAGGAAAAGCTGGAGCAGTGGCGCAAGAACGGCGGCGGCGACCTGGAGCCGGTCCTCGCGAGCGGCGCCGTCTCCCTCCTCGACGCGCAGTGGAGCATCAAGCGCACGCCGAGGCGCGGGCGGCGTCCTGACTCACCGCCAGGCGCTGCCCAAAGAGGCCTTCCTCTCCCTCGCCGACCTCGTCGAGGCGACCATGGGTGCTGGTGGGCTTCCCGTCGCCACGCTCTCCTACCCGTGGCTGACCAAGGACCACCCCGACCCGCGCGGAGCCAACCTCTCCCGCGTCGCAAGGGCGCTCAAGGCCCTGCTCAGTGACCCCTTCATCACACGGCTCGGCGTCTTTTGGGACTTCGGCTCGCTGCACCAGCACCCCGACCCCGCCAAGGGCGTTATGCGCACCGAGGAGCAGAACGCGCTCTTCAAGCAGGGGCTGGGCTGCCTCGGCACGCTCTACTCCCACCCGAAGACATGGGTGCTGCGGCTGACCTCCTTCCCGGACGGCCACAAGGCGGAGGACCAGGCCGAGGGCACCAACGTGGCCAAGTACTTTGTGATCGCGGCTGGTGCGCCACCGAGAACGCCTGGGCGAGCCTGACTAAGGCCAGGTACCTCTCGCTCGACCTCGGCAAGATGCGCGACGGCGAGGAGTAACGACTACTTCGATCTCCGAGAGGACTGCACCCAGGACGGCGGCCGTCGCCCTCCGCTGCTGCCGTCTGCGTTCGCGGCGGAGCTGGAGACGAAGAGCTTCACCTCCAACGGCAAGGACGACACGCCGCTCGTGAAGTGGCTGTACGAGGCCGCCTTCAAGGCGCAGTTTGGCAAGGCGACCGAGCTGAACTACCAGGAACTCGGCTGGGGCGACGCGAAGGCGGCGCAGCTGGTGGAGCTCCTCGCGAGCGGGGCGGCGCCGCGGCTCGAGAAGCTTGAGCTCTGCGGCAACAAGATTGGCGACGAGGGCTGCAAGGCGCTAGCCGCCGCCCTCAAGGAGGGGGCCGCCCCGAGCTTGAAGGCGCGAGACGCCACCCTCGCCACTCGCCCCTCCCCTGACCAATGCTCATCGCGCCTTCCCTCGCGTGCAGTTGCTCGTCGTGGACAACAAGGAGCAGCCTGAGCTGGTGGCCGTGTGCGAGGAGCGCAGCATCGCGCGCTCCTACTAGTGAGCCTCTCCATCCCTGGCCGGGCGGCAAGGCTAGGCGCGGGGCCCGGCGGGACCGCCGCACGAGCACAGCAGAGAGCAACAGAGCCTGCGGTTGCGGAGCATGACGCACAGCGACGGTGGGGACGGGCGGCGAGGGTGGGTGGGGGGTTGGGGGATGGGTGGATGTACGGTGCTCGGTGGGGATGGCCCAATACTGTATTCCCGGACGGCCTGAGAGTCCAGCATAATACACCGAAGCAGGACAGGCGTGAAACTCAGAGTTGCGTAAACACGTGCAGGCATGTGTCTCAACATTTTCATGAGCCGAAAACACAGTGTCAACCCTAATGTCAATTTTGTCAGAGAGACCCGCACCCGCGCAATCTCTGCTCGGCGACGGCGGCGGGCACCTCCTCCTGGTTGGCGAGCAGCAGCAGGTGCTCTTCCCGCTTTGCGGCGGCGCGCAGCTGCGAGGGGCGCGACCCCTTGATGATGATGTGGCGCGGCTCGAGCACCATGTTTGGGATCGCGTTGAGGCCGGCGCGGCGCAGGTGTGTTCTCGATGTATATGCATCGCTGCGTGCAATTCTTCTTTTGTCCATCCTCACGTGCAAAAGAAGAATTTTAGAAGATGCATCTTTGGGTACTGATCGCCCGGTTGCTTTGAAAATAAAATATTCTTAGCTTCAAGCCCCCCCCCGAGACTAGAGACAGAACCACACCAGTATCGGACCAGAGGGACTGCCCCCCGCCCCCACTTGCCCTGACTGCACAGGATTGCGTGCCCCGAAGACGGCGACACATAGCGGGGGACACCACGCAAGGAGAGGGTGCGAAGGCTCGTTTGGGTGCTAGGTGGGACCATGAGGGGGGGCGGGCGAGGTCCTGTGGGGGTGAAATGTTGCGCGGCGAATTCGAGCCTACCCCCTCGCCGCGCCGATCCTCACGCGGAGGTGCCTCTTTTTGCAGCAGGATGGCTCATGTTGTGTGGCTGCTTATGCTGCCTGCTTACGGGCTGGCTTGGAGGGGTCAGGAGTCAGCTTCAGGTTGCTTCAGTTGCTCACGGCGACGCCCAATGCGTGCGCCGGTGGGAGGGAGCAGTGTGTGCGCGCGCATTGTGGCTATGTGCGCATTGTGCGCATTGTGGCAGGCTTGCTGCTGCTGATGGTGGGAAGTGTGCTCTGTGTGTAGCGCTGCGCTGGCGTGCGGCGCGCGCGTGCTGTGCGCGTGTGCGTGTTGGATTCGCGCGTGCGTCTGCGTGTGCTGCGCGCGCGCCGCCGGTGTGTGCTGTGTGCTGTACTCTGCTGTGCGCCCTGTTTGTGCAGTTTTGAGGCGCAGGCCTGGCTGGCAGGGCTGCGCGGTGGGCTGCGGCGTGCTGCGGGTGGTCGCGCGCCTGCCTGATGGTGTGCGGCGGCCGCGCAGCTCGCCCGACCGGGTCGTCGGCGGCCCAGGGCGCGAGCATGCGGACTGCGCTGCATGTGAGGCTGCTGCGCGGCTGGCGCGCATGTTTCCGTGCGGATACGGCTTCGACGCTATCAACGGCTCGCTCCTCGCCGCGTTCGACACGGGCGGCGACGTGCGCGGCCGGCCGGCGGTCCAAGGCCACGTAAGAGTGAGTGACCTCTCTTGAGAGATGAGACCATTGGCTAACAACCCTATAAAGAAAACTAAAGAGCCGCAAACGAGCCTACTCCTTGCCAGACAACTTGGTGCGCTCCGCCTGCTGTTCGAGCAGTCCGCCCTCCAGCAGCGCGGCAGCATGCGCCGACGCCCCTCCCTTGTCGCACATCGTGGCCAAAAACGACGTGCCGCCGCGCACCGTCCGCGTCGCCACGTACGAGAAGCACCAAGGCTGGTTGTCGAAGCTGCCGCCACAGCAAGTGGAGGCACTCGGCGTCGCGAGCGCGATGGCCTCACACGCCGCGAGGCAGTTGGTGCGCTGCTGCTCACGCGGCAGCGCGTGCCACGCGTCGTCCCACACCGACGTGCGCCTGCGGCTGTGGCACATCTTCTGCGACTCCCACTCCGCGCCGCACATGGCCGGTGGCAGCGGCGGCGGAGCCAGGGCGGGCGCATCGGGAGGCGGAGGATGTGGGGGAGGAGGCGCCGAGGGTGGCGACGGTGAGGCCGACGGCGGCGGCGCGGGCGGCGGCGAGGGCGGCAAAGCGGGAGGTGGAGAAGGAGGCGCCGACGGAGGCGGCGAGGGTTGGGGCGACGGCGGCGTTGATGGAGGGTGCGCTAGTGGCATCGACGGGGGTGGGGTGAGCGGCGTGGCGCAGTCAACGCCAAGAGCCTGATGCTCCGCGGTGCAGGCGAGACAGGAGTCGGCGATGCAGTTGACGCCGAAGGCCTGGAGGTTCGCATCGCACACCACCTCGTAATCGCCGCAGGACTCCTCGTCCTCGTCCTCCTCCTCCTCCTCCTCGTCCTCCTCCTCCTCCTCCTCCTCCTCCTCCTCCTCGTCCTCCTCCTCCTCCTCCTCCTCCTCGTCCTCCTCGTCCTCCTCGTCCTCCTCGTCGTCCTCCTCCTCCTCCTCGTCCTCCTCCTCCTCCTCCTCCTCCTCCTCCTCCTCCTCCTCCTCCTCCTCCTCCTCCTCCTCCTCCTCGTCCTCCTCGTCGTCCTCCTCCTCCTCCTCGTCCTCGTCCTCCTCCTCCTCCTCCTCCTCCTCCTCCTCCTCCTCCTCCTCCTCCACCACCACCTCCAGCGGCGTGGCGCAGTCAACGCCAAGAGCCTGGAGCTCCGCGGTGCAGGCGATACAGGAGTCGGCGATGCAGTTGACGCCGAGGGCCTGGAGGTTTGCATCGCACACCACCTCGTAATCGCCGCAGGACTCCTCGTCCTCCTCGTCCTCCGCGTCGTCGGACGTGGGAGAGCTGCCGTGGTCGCAGACGTAGTTGCCAAGGATGCCTGGCGGGCAGCACTCGCACAGGTAGTCCTCACACTCCGGGCAGGAAGAGCCGCACTTCTTGCTCCCGGGCTCGGTGCACACGAGCGTGACCGGAACGGGCTCTGGCGGTGTGGCGCAATTGACGTCTTGGAGACTCTTGGTGCACGCGGTGCAAGTGCCGATGAGACAGTCGTCGCCGAGCGCCTGGATAGCCGCGTCGCAGTACACCTCGTACTCGCCACAGGAGAATTCATTACCCTCCGCAGTATTGTCGGAAGGGGGGTGGCCGTTCTGACACACGTAGCTGGGCTGCGGTCCCACGGGGGGTGGAATCACAAAGGTGGAGCAGCACTCGCAGACGTAGTCCTCGCATGTGGGGCAGGTCGGGCCACACAGCTCGGCCTCAAGGAATGCGTAGCAAGACTGCGCGGCCTCACGAGCGACAGGCGCCGCTGACGCCAAGGCAACAAAGGTGGCGATGATACGCAGCATCATCGTAGACGTTCGAGAGAGCCTCGGGAGCGCCGACAGGAGGACTGAGGTGGTCGAATGTCGCTGCAATCCGCGCGGCGTTCCTTCTTCGCCGATTTTTACTTTGCTATCCCCCCCACTAGCACACCACACTCCTTTCCTTAGAAAACCCTGTGTATGTAGTGGCGACACTTGGAGCACTTGGAGTGAGTGCAGTCGCGGCGATCTGATTTTGTGTGTGTTTTGTTTGTTCAGTGTATGTAGCTCTTACGAATTGTTTGTTCCCCCTAGTTTATCTGCGGCGTGCCGTCCACCCATCATCCCACATCCCTCCCTCCCTCCCGGGCGGGGTTGCGTGCTCTCTTTTTTCTTTCTTTACCTGAATCCCCCTATCCGCTTGGAGCCCGAACCCAGGAAGCGCGTATTGTTCGTGGTGTTGTGTGCAGATGCGCACGAGACTCGTGTTGGGCTCACAGGAGCATGTTCAAGTTAGTAGATAGTACATTACCCGAGGGTTGAAAAAATACGGCGAATCCGTGATCCGGTGACGCGGTCAGCGGTGTGCGGTGATCTCTACGCCACGGCCTCACGCTCGCCTGCGCTTCCCGCTGCCACTCGCCGTCGTCGTCGTCGTTGCACGTGGACGCGCGCCCGAGCTGGAGGATCCTCCCTCCGCCCGTAGCTTCTCAACGGCGTCCTGGAGCGCCGCGTCGCCCAGCCGGCACCGGCACTGCAGACACGGCATCCCGCGGTAGGCCGAGGTCTCGCATCCCTTCGGGCCGCCCGTGTAGTGGCAGCTCTGCCGCGCCTTCTCGAGCGCAGTGTACGAGCTCTCTCTGCGCCGTCGCCACGGCACCACGCACACCTCCGCGTCGATGTCGCCGTGCCGCATCAGAAAGGGCTCGTCGCCAAAGTGCGCACCCTCTCCGTCCAACACCCACGAGTGGCCGTCGGGCGGCTTTGGGCGCAGGACCTCGTAGTCCTCGTCCGTCAGGGTGCGAGGTGCGGCATCCCGCGGGTCCTCCGCCGCGCCATTGCACGAGCAACTGGGCTGAAAGCACGTCATGCAGACGGCCGGCGCGGCGGTGCCTGCGGGTCGACACGGATCCGGCTCCCAGGGCTCGAATCCGGGGTAGGACGGTATGCCGTCACCGAGCTCAGGCTCGCCTGTGGAGCGGTGGATGCGAGACCAGCTCGTCACGGCGAAGCCACGCTTGGTGTCGTGGGGCGACGTGAGGCCCAGAACGTCTGCGTGGACCCAATCCGTGTTGGGCTCACAGTCGTAGTGGATGAAGACCTCGCGCGTGCACTTGGAGCAGGTGCCGCGAGCAGCGAAGGCGCTGGACCGGCGGACGAGCAGCGCGTCGTCCAGGAAGCCATTTCGACTCCGAAACCACAGCCGTGGAACCGCGATCCATGGAGCGCCACCGCCAAAGTCTGCGCGCTTCTCGTCGTCTCTGCACATGGCGCAATGGCAGATGAACCCACCCCAGGCACGCACGTTATATTCGCCAGCATGCAGGCCGCGATCGGCAACCACAGCGCCACACGCACACGATACGTTCAGCTCAACCCATAGCGGCGGCATCAACCTCTGAATATTAGACGGCTCGCGTGAGGGATGGGCTAAACTCCCTCTCGCTGCAGTGGCGGGCAGGCGGGCGAGAGGCGCCTCTCGGAGAGGCGAGCAGCGCGGCGCGAGCACGGCAAAGCGGCGTGGATCCGTCCTTGTGCCGGGCGTGTGCCGGGCGTTCGCTGAGAAAAGAAAAGTTGCTGCCCGATTATTTATGTCTCTATTATTTCTCTTGTTGTTACCATCCTTACATTCTTTCTTGTTGACACGTTGCCAACGGATGCTGTGCAGCTGCGATTACTGGAGTAGAGCTCGCGCTCCTTCCACAGATCACGATAGCTTTTTGTCTTGGCCTCGGCCGAGGGGATGTTGTGCGTGTACGTATGGCTGGCCAATGCGGAAAATGTAGCAGCGAGCCAGGCAGAGGCGCCAAGGCCCGGTAGCCGGTACAGGTCGATGTGATGCGCAGAAACCTGCTGCATCTCCTCTCTGGCTCTCTCGTGGCGGGGCTCTCCACCCGTGGCCGTGCGCCGCGCGCCCCGCCGAGAGCCCAGGTGCCGCATCACAGACTCGACCAACCAGAGCCCGACAGCCGCACTGCACAGGCGCCTAGTAGCCCCCTCTACGCCGCGTGCTCGGAGCAGTCACGGCAGCGGCGACAGCGAGCTCAGAACGGTGCCTCCCTGCCTCCCTCGAGGTCGTGAGGAACCTGAAGCGGCGGCGGCCGCTGCCTGCGGCGGCGGCGGCCGAGAGAAGCCGCAGCGCGGCCGAGTGGCGGCGGTGGCGACGCGGACTGCGGCGGCAGCAGGTCGGTGGACCGCAGTGGCTCCGCAACGGGCATCTCGGGCGACGGGAGCGCCGCGATGGTGCTCTGCAGCCAAGCGCGCTGCACCGACTGGGGTGCCGGCGAGGGGAGTACGCGCTTCGACTTCAGGCGTTCGCAGAGGCGGCGGCACTTGCGCTCTTCCACGCCCTCGACCGCGTTGCCCGCGACCACGTTGCGACGCGCCTCCCCGTCTGCCAGTCGGGTCGAGAGCGCTTGCTGCGCCGGCGAATCCAGCAGGGTCTTGGTGGCGTTGGTAGATGAGTTGAAGAGGAACATGCCGCCCGTGCTGCCATCATGATGGGCAGTCCACGATGCATTGGCGTTCGGTGAGACTCCAGCGACCGCCGCGCTGACCGTGAGGAGCGGGAAGCGGTGGAGCCGTTGCCACTCCGGGCCCATACAAAGAGGCGGCTCTGGCGGCGATCTCGCCCGCTTTCTGCGATTGTGAGGCCGGCGCAGCGAGACGGAAGAGGGCAGCATTTGAGTGGTCGGTCCTGTGGGAGTGAGACGCTGCACCCGGGTGCATTGTGCCGACTGCCGACGCCGACGGCGTCTCCTTATTTAAAATGGGCTCGCCTTTGAGGTTTCGGCTGTCGGTCGGTCCTTGAGTGTTTTTCTTTTTACAAAGAAAACTGAGCGCGAAACGTGGGGCGCGGTAGGGGAGGGCTCAAACCGGGGCGAAGCCGTCGCCGACGTTGCCGGACGGTTCGTACGAGCTGCGGTACGGCGCCGCGCGGACTGGAGGGTTCACGTCATCTCCGCTGCAGGCACTCCAGGTCCAAGCCCTACCTCAAGAGAGTAGACACAAGGGGATGACGTGCGTGACGGAGCTGATGGACCACCTACCTCGTCGCCCAGGCCAACATCTGCTTATTGCGGACACGACTCGTGGGTCTTCTTCAGTCTTCCACGACGCGTTGGACTGTTGGTGGGACGAGGAGGCGCAGATGCACCTTTTGAGCAAGCACAACATCGGCCCCCTACAGGCAGATGTTGTACCATATGCGGAATCGACCCCCTTTCCGCTATGCAAGCCGCTTATCCCAGTGGCAGTGCATCTCCTCCGCAACGTGTGTGTGTGCAACCCCTGGGCAAGCTGCAAGGTGCACAACAATTATGCAACAAACATCAAACAAGGCTTGGCAACACGAGCTCGTCCCGAGACGCGAGAGCCCCAGCCCACGAGGACGAGCCGGCGCGCGAGCGCGAGATCAAGTTCGAATTCAAGTTGCAAAGTTTGAACATGGTTGAGATGGTACGGCTCACGTGTCACGAGAGTCACTCTGGACGAAAAACTTCACCTTTTCTCTTCTCCGCGGGGCGCACGGTGTACGAGCCTAGACGCACTACTAGACCGCGACGCACACCACGGTCACCCAAACCTGCATCACCTCCGCTTGCCTCGCGCTGGCTGCTCCTTGAGCACGGCGTGCGTCGGGTTGGCCTTGATGTGCTGATTTTGGCGTAGTCCGTAGACGGCGCGTCATACCCAGTACAAAATTTGATCGATACGATACTCGGGCTCGCCACCTCTCGCGTGGCGCCTCGCTCGTGTCTCTCGGGGGGTGCGCGGGCGGCTGTGGCGCGTGCGGCTGGCGCGCTGGGGCGGGGGAGGTGGGTGCCCCTCGCGCTCGCCGCTCGCCCCGCCACACGCCGCAAGCGCGCACAGTCACCCCGCATGCAGTGAACTACCAGGGCCAACTACCCGTATGTGAGCAGTGAACACTCCTATTGGTGGGTGGGACATCGATTGCGATCACACGCCCGCCTCGGCAGCAACCTCCGCAGTTGCCACCTCGAGGAGCGCGCGCACGTACGGGTTGGTGGACGCGCGCAGCGACTCGGAGAGCTGCGGCGTGTCCATGCCGAAGTCAAAGAGCCGCCGCCGCACCTCGGCCGTCCCCGCCGCGCGCTCCTCCGCTGTGACGCTCGCTAGCCGCTCGCGCTTGGCCGTGGCGTCCGCGGCGTCCGCGGCCGGACCGCCGCCGACCGTGGCCGACTCGAGCTCTGCGAGCTTCCGCTTGGCCGACTCGACCACCGAGGACGGGAAATCGCACGACGCGGCGACGGCGACACCGTACGACTGGTCCGACGGGCCGGGCTGCACCTTGAAGAGCGGGGTCAGGTCGTCGCCGTCCACGTGCGCGGCGACGTGGCGGTTGCCGACGGCGGCCTCCCTGTCGGCCAGTGCCGTCAGCTCGTGGAAGTGCCTACGCACCGGCGAGGGCTCTCCTGCTGAGGAGAGTGCGGTGCGAGGCGCGGCGGCGCGGCGGCGGGCGCGCGCGTGGCGAAGAGCGTGAGCGAGCGGCGCGCGAGGAGCTGCGAGCAGATGGCGGTGGCGAGACCGTAGCCGTCGTAGGTCGAGGTGCCGCGGCCGAGCTCGTCGATGATGACGAGGGAGGAGGCGGTGGCGGCGCGGAGGATGGTTGCCGACTCGAGCATCTCCGCCATGAAGGTGGAGACGCCGCGAGACTGCATGTCGCCCGCGCCGACCCTCGCGAGGATCGCGTCCACCGGCGAGAACTCCATCGCGTCGGCCGGCACGAAGCAGCCAACCTGAGCGAGCAGCACGCACACGCCGACCGAGCGGATGTAGGTGGACTTGCCGCCGCAGTTTGGGCCGGTGACGAGCAGCAGCGAGGGGACCTCGGCGTCGGCCGCGTGGTCGCCGAGCGCGACGTCGTTCTTGATGAAGGAGCCGGTGCCCCCGCCGGCCGACTCCATCCGCTCGACGCACGGGTGGCGCGCGCCGTCGATGCGCAGCGCGCGCGGCGCCTCGGGCGGGAGCAGCGTCGGGCGCACGTACGGCTCGGGCGCAGACGCGGCGACGGCGGCAAAGGCGAGGAGCACGTCGAGCTTCGTCAGGTGGCCGGCGAGCTCCGCGATGAGCGGGCAGAATGTGGCGGCGGTGTCGACGACCTTTGTGACCAGCGTTCCCTGCGGCGGGGAGAGGGGGGGGAGGGGGGCACACAGCGGGAGGGATCAGACGGGCACGCGCTCCTCTCCGGCGAGAGAGCGGCCTCTGTGGCCTGGCCTGCGCGGTCTGGTAGTGCGCGGCGAGCTCCTTGTACCGCGCGGCCAGCTTGTCGAGCGCCTTGTCGCGGAAGGCGACTCCGTCCTTCTTGGTGCCGAGCACGTTGACCCCGTCCGCGTCGCGGATGAGCTTCTCGTCCTGCGCCGGTCGGGGGCGGAGCCGCGGGGTTAGGCCGTGCTCCTCGCCCGCGTGGCCGTGTCGGCGATCTCTCGCGGCCGCGGGCTCTCCTTGCGCGAGAGGCGGCAGTGGCCCATTGCTTGTGGATCACTACTAGCGAGTTGTGAGTCATGTTCTCCTTGCGCGAGACGCGGCAGTGGTAGCCGTGCGGCGCCCCCTTCTCGAGCTTGACGCGCCCCTCGTCCACGCCCAGCCGCTCGCACAGCGCCTCGTGCGCCGCCTCGATCTCGGCGACCGTCTCGTCCCGCGAGGCGCCCAGCCCCGCGAGCTCCTGCTCACAGCGGCGTCCGTGAAGGGACACGCCGTCCTCTCACCGCCGCGGGGCTGGCCGAGGCCCGGGCGTCGCGCCTCGTCAAAGTGCGGCCGGATCAGGTACTCGTGCCTGCGACACGGGTGCAGCTCGGTCGGGGGCGTGCGGGGGCGTGCGCCAATCGGAGAACGGCGCTCGCGCCTCGCGGCCGCCTCGAGGTCCACCGCAGCGTGCACGAGCTGCCGGTACCGCTCGAAGTTCTCGTGCACCACCTGCAGCGGCTCGGTGAAGGCGGACTGCACGAGCGTGTGCCCGTCCACCTCGCCCTCGCCCTCGCCGCCCTCGGCGTAGCCGCCGCCCGCGAGCGCCGACAGCAGCCGCGGCAGGCTGCCCAGCAGCGAGTAGAGCAGCACCACGTCCTGCAGCGTCGCGCGGCCAGAGAAGAGGCGCCGCTGCAGCCGGTCAAGGTCCGCACCTACCAGGGGGCACAACCCGCAACGGCGTCGCGCGCACGCGGCCGGCCGCCGCAGCCGGCTCGAGCCGGCTCGCGCGCCCATCGCGGGCAGGCAGGTGTCTCGCAGCGTCGCGCGCAGCTCGAGGGACGAGACGAAGGTCTGCACGAGGTCGAGGCGGTGCTCTATCTCGTGCGGCGACAGCAGCGGCTGCTTGAGCCACTTGCGCAGCAGCCGCCCGCCGCCCGCCGTCTTGGTCTTCGCAAAGATGCCGTACAGGCTCGCGTTGCGGTCCGCCTCGTTGGGCTGCGGCTCGACCGAGAGCGCGCGCAGTGCCGACGCGTCGAGTCTCACAAACTCCCGCGGCTCGACCTGCGGCAAGAGAGACGGCAGGGCGTGTGTGTCAAGGCGTGTGTCCCCGGAGGGCCTGGCCAAGTGCGCGCTCGACGTGGCGTTCACCCACTCGATTCCCCACTGGCCGTGCGACTCGGTGAGGGAGGGCAGGTCGAGGTGGCGGCACAGCGCGCTGAAGCAGCCGACGGGCAGCTGCTGCTGCGTCTCGAAGGCGCGCGCGTGGACAGGCTGCTCCGAGCCGACCAGCCGGCGCAGGTCCTGCTCGGCGTGCTTTTGCGCAAAGGCGCCGCGCGGCGCGTCGGTCACCGCAACCTCGCAGACCTTCGGCGCGCGGGGAGAGGGGTGGCGCAGAGCGGCGGGAGAGAGGGGTGGGGCGGGGGGAGAGAGGTTGGGAGAGGGGGCGTCGGCTGTCGGTCGCCTCGAGCATGTTGAGGAGGCTATATCTCCCCATATCTCCCCATATCTCCCCATATCTCGCCTCGAGCATGTTGAGGAGGGCTAATTGATTGATTGATTGATTGATTGATTAATTAGTCGCCTCGAGCATGTTGAGGAGGGCTAATTGATTGATTGATTGATTGATTAATTAGTCGCCTCGAGCATGTTGAGGAGGGCCTTGCGGTCGGCGGCTTCGAGCTCGGCGGGCAGGAGGACCTCGCGCGTCCCCTGCTGGCAGAGCAGCGACTCGAGCGTGCACAGGTTCTCGTCGTCCTCGAACTCGGACGTGCGGAGCGAGCGGGACGCCTGCGGGCGAGCAGAAGGGGGCGAGGGGCGGCCAGGCGGAGGTGGGAGGCGAGGGGCGAGGGGCGCAGGGAGAGGCGGGCGGGTGCGGAGGAGAGGGAGGCTCCGGGCGGTGGGGGAGAGGCGGACGGTGGGGGAGACGCGGGCTGCGGGCGGGCAGCGCGCGCCCCGTCCGCGAAGCACACGCCGACCAGCCGAGCGTTTCCCGAGTATCCCTTTGATCCCGCGGTCCGGCCGAGCCGGACGGCGGCGATGGTGGTCGATGCGTCGGGCGGGAGCTCGCCGTCGCGGAGGCACTCCTCCTCGAAGGCGGAGATGTTGCCCGGCGAGCCGCGCCGCGAGAGCACCCACCGCGCGCCGTCGAGCGAGTAGACCTCGAGCCGGCGCCGCTGGACGAGCAGGCAGGCGCGCATCACCTCGGCAGCCATCTTCTTGTTGATGGCGAGGTAGGGCGTGCGGCCGTCACCGTCGCTCCAGTGCCGCACCGCCGAGGAGGAGCGGAAGTAGAAGGCCGCGATGGCGTCGGCGTCGCGACCGACGGCGACGTAGTGGTCCCTCCTGCGGGCGCGCGGAGCGACGGGGCTGCGATCGCCACGCGTTCGGGGCATCACGGCGGCGGCGAGCGCACCGGTCGTACAGCCGGATGAGATCGGCGGGCTGGACGCCGAGACCCTGAGAGTGGGGGCACACAGAAGCGGGGGCTGGGCGACGGGTTCTTTCTCGCAGGCTGGTCGCGCGCAGCTGCGGGCCGGGCCGCCTTCTTATGCGAGAGGATGGTCTTTCCCTCGGAGGACGTGACTTCCTCGGTGCCACGCTCATCGTCTCGGAAGCCAAGCAGGTACAGGGCGCTCATGCCGCTTGCCGAGCAGCAGCGCCAACGACAGCGGCGCCAACGACAGCCCACGACAGCTTTTCGCGGGTTACCCCTCGCTTTTTCTTCCCAAGTCTGTTCTCGTCGCCTCGTTGCTCAACGAGATTGGATGGGATTCTCGTACATGGCCGGCGACCCCCCCTCTTTCTTCCTTGACCCGCGCTTTCCAGGTGACCGAAAAGAAACCCGCATCGCGCGGAGCAGACCGCGCGCTCGGCGCGAGCCCGGCGCGAGCCTCAATGTCGTTGCTCTTCGCCCTCGTTCCGCTGGCGCTGCGTCTGCTGCCAGCGGCGCGCCCCGCCGCCGCCGCCGCCCTGCGAGCGCATCGCCCGCGCCACCTCTGCCGCCACCTCTGCGTGCGCGCCGAGATGCCGAATCTGGACGGCACCGGCTCCCTGCGTACGCTCGTCGACTATCCCGCCCGGATGGACATCAAGGCGATCGGCGAGACGGTGGGGGACGACGGCTTTGTGGCGGATATGCAGAAGCTCGCCGAGGCGGCCGCGCCTGCCAGGCCCGTCGAGGTGCGATGGCGAGACAAGGGGCGCTTCCGGTCGGTCACGCTGCGGTGTACGTTCCGCTCTGCCGACGAGGTTTACGCCCTGTACGCATCGCTCGACGCGGACGAACGAGTCAAGTTTAAGCTCTAGCGAGACGCACAGCTGGCCAAGTGCGCGACAGCGAGAGCGATCAGCCTGCGATCCGCGGTTTTGGGGCTCAGACACTGACAGGGCCGTAGACTTTTTGCAACTACTCGCAACTGGAGAAAGTCGAGGAACGTAAAATCCTCTCAACCCTGACACAGCAGCCCACACAGTGCACTGTGCACAGTGCCGGCGACGGCGCGCGGGGGGGCGCGCACAGACGTCGCACAAGCCACAACGAAATTACGCGTCAAAAACGCACCGTCCACCCGGCGCCAACTTGATTCCCGGATGCGCGTCTCACGGCCGGGTCACGGGACGGGGAGGGAGAGGGGTGGATCCGTAATGCGTAAATCCGTAAATCCGTAAATTTGTAAGCAAGGCCACCAGAGCGCCCCCCATCAGCATCACACCCAGCTCTACCACAGGCAGACAGAGATCCAGCACTCGCGACACGCTGAGAAGCCGGAGGCTGGCCTCTCCAATGCTCGCGCAACGCTGTCTGCACGCGCTCGTGCAGCTCTCCGGGGTCCGGTGGGAGGGTCGACGACCGTACGACTGTAACGCTACGTATTAACAATCACTATGTTCGCGGCGCTTGCGCTGCGCCTCTGCGAGTGTAGGGTGCCCACAGGGCCCAAAAAAAGAAAAGAAAAAAGAAATGGGCCACCCCAGATCGCAGCACTTCGTGTTGGAGAGTCGAGATATTGAGAGTGTGACTAGGAGGGTGGGACGCTGGGGATTCTCAAAGGTATACCCTTGGAATGGCCGGATCCAGCCTTAACAGTACGAGATCGCGCGCGCTTCGCGCGCTGCACCGCCTATTCTCCGGGCTGAGTGACGACGCGTGCCGTGTGCCAGCAGAGTTGGGCGCGCGCGGCGCGACGGCGCCCGCGAGGGAAGGCGCGGGTGCAGCGGCCGCCGGCGGCCGTACCGCCCGCCAGCCGGCGCAGCAGCGGCCAGCGCAGCGGCCGCCGGCGCAGCAGCCAGATCAGCCGGTGCGCGCCTTGCGAGGCGAGTACTGCCGCCCGGCAGCCTTGAGGCGGCCGGGCGGCAGTACTCGTTCGAACTTTGCGAGCCGTGCGCGCGCCGAGGCGCCCGCGGCGCGCGCCCGCCCGGCTGCCAGTAGGAGGCGGCGCAATATGGCCTATAGTACAGCCCTTGAGGAGGAGGAAGAGGCTGGCTGGCAGTGCTGTATGCCGCCGAGGGGCAGTTTTGGGGTGCTGTCACGGGCCCAGGGGGCTGCAGAAGGTGTCCGCAGCCGGGACAACCCGCCCCCCCAGCCGAGGCCGGTCGAAGCCCACTTGGCTCTTGGGCACAGCCATGAGGAGTCCTCTTGGTGCTCCTGGCAAAACGCGGCGGGCACTCCGGTGGGAGGTTTTTGGAGCTCCGCTCACGAGGGGGGGCGCGTTCCTTTTTCATCAGTCTATGTCATCAGTGTTCTCGGCGCTTACGCATTTCTTTCTTGTGTGTGTCTGGACCCTTTGTTTGTCTTTTAGCTCTCTCTCTGTATCTCTCTCTCTCTCTCTCTCTCTCTCTCTCTCTCTCTCTCTCTCTCTCTCTCCCCCCCCCCCCCCCCCTCTCTCTCTCTCTCTCTCTGTGTGTGGTGCCGTGCGACGAGGCGGCTGCCATGCTCCTGCGTGGCGACCGCTCGATCCTCTCCCTCTCCCATGGCTGGCTGACGGCTCTGCACCCGGACCCTCACGGCACTACCCTCGCCGCCGTCCGACGCTTCCTCCTCTTTGACACGGCGGCGGCTGGCGAGGCGGGGCTCTTCTGGGACTTTGCCAGCTTGCCGCAGCGAGGGCCGAACGGGGAGGCTAGAACAGAGGAGGAGAAGCGAATCTTCAACAGGGGCCTCGAAGTGATGGGGTCCTTCTACGCGAGCGTGACCGGCACCTCTGTCATTCAGCAGCGCGACATGGTCCTGCCTCCCGGCGCGCTTACCGGCGTTGGGGCGTACAACCCAACGCCGTACGAGGGCGATGGCGGCCGGGGCTGGTGCATCTTTGAGCAGGGGACGGCCATGACGGTGCTGGCGCACCTGACGGCGGCGGAGAGGCAGGCGGCGGAGAAGGGCAAAGCGCTGCCAGAGCGCTTCCGGAAGGCGCAGGCGGCCCGTGCAAAGGTGTATGACATCGGGGGGGCGGCGCCGATGGCGCGCGAGAGCTCCCTGTCGCCAAGGGAGGTGCTCGACGAGGCGTGCCGCGCGATCGAGAAGGCAAAGTTCACGGGCAAGGCGGACCAGGTGATGGTGCCGCAGATGCTGGCCGAGTTCGAGTGGGTCTTCCGGAGCACTTTTGAGCGGGCGCTTGAGGACCACGCGGCGAGCGGCGCGACGATCCGGCGGGAGCAGCAGCAGGCGGTGCTCGCGCGGCTTTCCGAGCGCGAAGGGGCAAATGGCAGGTTGAGATCTCGCGCGCTCCTCGTGACTGCTGCGATGAAGCTGTTCAGGTGGCGAGACGGGAGGCCCCTCGTGGCTGTGCGAGATAGTCGGGGCGCGATGGGCAGGAGTGTAGGATCAGGCGTGGAGCTACTAGAGGCCGGGTGACGGGGGCAGTGTGAGGGATGCCCCACCGGAATGTGGCTGTGTCTTTTGAGTCAGGCGCCGCCCGTTCGACTCTTTTGCTGTGTGTGTTTGTCGAGCTTCCGCATGAAGTAACGCGCCTCTTCCTTGTTTTTCCAGCACAGCTGCCGCTCAGTAAGTGCGCCAACGACGCCTGTGGCGGCAGTTGTGTCAAACTGTCAGGTGTGTGGACAGAGAGAAGTTTACGCAAACCCTTACCTCTCTCTTAGTATACTAGTACAGCCGACGTTGCCGGAGATGAAACTGACACAAACCGGATGCACAGAGGTTGAGGCAACAATCAATATCCCAACGGCAACGCAAGCCTACGGACTGGGAGAGAAGGATAGAACCCCCATGTAAGAAAAACCTACCTAGTCGTTCGTAAAGTACGTCTAGTGCTCCCGCTGCGACGGCGGCGTCCAGCGCGCGTGCCGGCACCGCCCGCTCGTGACCCGCTCGTCCTCGAGCAACCTTTCAACGATGCGGGCCGCGCAAGCGCCCGCACCTGCGAGGTTGAACGCCTCGGGCCCGATCTGCAGCGCGCTGAGCGCCCCCGCGACGTAGAGCTGCCAGCCGTCCGCCCACTGCAAGGAAGGAGTCAGCTCGGGAAGCCCGCCGTGCGCGCTGCCCGGCGAGACGCGGCGGACCGACGAGAGGAGGCCGAGGCGATCCACGTCCAACACGTTGCCCGTCCCAAGCCAGATGGCATCCGCGCCGATAGTCTCGCAAATCTCGCCACCGCCGCCGCCGCCCTCGCCGCCGCCCTGGCCGCTGCCGCCGCCCTGGCCGCCGCCGCCCTCGCCGCCGCCGCCCTGGCTGTCAGCGGCGGCGCAAACACAAACCTCCCACTCCGCTGCCTTTGGCCGCCAGCTGGCGCGGCGCACCTCTGCGCGCTCGAGGACGCGGCCGGCGCCCCGAAGCTCCATCTCCGCCAGCCGCCGCCTCGCCTCGGGCGTAAGCGAGCCGCCCGGTCTCGCCTCTCGCAGCTGCCAGAGCCTCTCCTCTGGTGGCGCGGCGAAGAAAGCCGCCTCCTCCGCCCCCAGCTCCGGCGACAGCAACGACGCGACCCAGCCACCGCCCACGTCGAACGGCCGCACCGTCAGCTCCGATCGGGACACTAGGGTCACTGAACGCCAGCCGAGCCGGCAGGCAAACGCGGCCAGCTGCGCGGCGCTCAAGCCCCCGCCGACCACGACCAACCGGCCCGTCCCGCGAGGGCGTTGAGGCTCGCTTCCGCTGCAGCGGCGGAGCGGAGAAGGAAGAGGCAGCAGCAGCAGCAGCAGCAGCAGCAGCAGTAGCAGCAGCAGCAGCAGCGAGACAAAGGGCAACCGTATCGCCTTTGTCGACGGAGAGGGAAGCCCTCCTCCCGCCACCGCCGCCGGAGCCACAACCGCGGCAGCCACCGCCGCCGCCGCCGCCGCCCCCGTCGCCGCCGACGCCGCCGACGTCTCAACGTCGCGCCACCGTCGCCTCCGTGACAGAAACGAGGCGAAGCCGCCGCTCCTCTCGCCGCGGAGGGTGGGAGCAGAGCAGCGCCGCGGGGTGGTAGCGAGCTCGTCGGCTAGCGCGGAGGCAAGGGCAGAGGCGTGCAGCAGCGTGGAGCGGGCGGCCGGCTGCGGGGATGGCGCGGAGCCGAGCGAGCGCGACGCCTGCAGGAAGGCCCCGAGTGGTCCCCGAGAGACAGCTCCAGGAAGGTTCGCGGAAGGTTCAGGGATAGCTCCCGCCTCCTCGACCCAGTCGGGATGCCGAGGGATGCCCCCGTCGCCGACCGCAAGCACGACTCGCCTCGCTCGCAGGCTTCGGCGGTGGGCGCCGCCGCCTTGGCTGCCGCCGCCACCACCGTCCTTACTGCAGTGGCCGCCGCTGCCTTGGCTGCCGCCGCCAACGCCGTCCTGACTGCAGTGGCCGCCGCTGCCTTGGCTGCCGCCGCCGCCACCGTCGCTGCAGCTGCGAAGGTTGATGTCCAACGCAATGTCAAAGGCCCACGGCAGAGCAGAGTCACGGAAAAGCGGGACGATGTCGGTGGCGGCGGCGGCAACGTGGCAGCCCGCGAGCCGCTTGTCCTCCTTTCCTCCCCTCAGATCCGCCGCCAGGTCCTCGCAAAAGTCCTCGAAAAGGCGCGAGGACGGCGCCTGCCACTGTCGCTCGACGCCCTCAATCGGACGCAGCTCGCGCAGGCGGCCGTGTGCGGCGGCGTAGCCGTGCAGCGCGTCGTCGAGCCGCCGCGACGGGTGCGGGTGCACAAAGGTGGGCGAGCGCAGGTGCGACACGCCCTGAGAGCGCAGCTTTGCGGCCCATGCCGTGCAAAACGCTCCGGACGGATCAATCACGAGAGTGGAGTGCAGCAGCGCGCTGGACGGATCGTCGCGAGCGAGCCGAGCAAGCAAGGCGAGGGCAGCTGGGCCGGAGCCAATCACCGCGAGCTCGGCGTCGACGTGGAGAGCGCTGGCCGCGCTGTCCGCTGGAGAGCGCGGCATTCGCGAGAAAAAAGAATTTGCAATGGGCTGCCTTAGAATTTTACAACAAAACTCCCTCGCACAACACTGGGCACAGGACTGGGCACGGGACTGGCGCGCACTGGCACTAACACAGGTACACCACTGGAGCCGCCTAAGCGACTCCGGCGAGGACGGCGAGGCACTTAGCTCCGTGCACTCGACCGCCCTCGCCGTTGGCAAGCTCATTCACAATCTGCTCTGCGATGGCCGTGTGAAGAACGACTGAGATGCGCTGCTTCTGCAGCCCCAGCCAGCTCTTGGTGGTCCAAAGTCACCTCATCGAGGTACTGGGCCCGCGTCAGCTTGTTCTGCAGCACGTTCGCCGCCTTCCAGAGGATCTCGCCGACCCCCGTCCCGAACCCGCCGAACGACTCGAACAGCAGCAGCCGCACGTCAACACCCTTGTCCTCCCTGGCGTAGCGATACTCGCCACCATAGCGCATAGGACGGTATGCGGCGATCGCCGCCCACCACCCTGCCCCCCCTAAGTATGCCACCGGCCAGTCCCCTGCCCCCGAGAAAAAAGAATTTTACAACAAAACTCCCTCGCACAACACTGGGCACCACTAACACACCTAAACGACTCCCGCGAGAAAAAAGAAAAAGCAAAAAACAAAGCAAAATTGGTGAGAAGTCGTGATGAACCCCGCACCACCTTACACTGACGTTCACCCACTTGACTATCCTCTAATCGTCAGCGGCACGCTCCCTCCCTGCCGTGCGTGGTCCCTGGTCAGGGAGGCAGCGCGAGACGCAGCGAGATGGTGGAAAGCAGAAGCCCGAGATAGCGCAGCGGCACAGGGGTCAGGGATCATGGCCGCGCCTAGGCGCACTCCAGCGAGAGAATGAGAGGCGAAAAGAAGAAGTTTGCGATGCACCTCTCAACAAGCGTTAAGACTTAAGTGTGCCTAAGCGTATGAACTTTGTTTTGTAAGTGCTTGTAAGTGCGCAGGTGCCGGTTATTCCTGAGTTCTATAGAATTGCGTGAATATACATGTGTGCATTGAACCGCACCCTGTAAGGTGGCGCTGCTCCAACAACGCCTCCCCGGCGCAGAGGGCCCCCCGGAGGAATGCTCAACCGCTCCACGCCACGCCACTTGCGGCGGATTCCCAGGTTCCGTGTTTTTCCCGATGTGTTTCTTTCTCGATGTGCCATTGCGACCAGCTCCTGCCACTGTAGCCAACCCCAAACCAACACTATAGATCCCGCCATGGGCTTCTCCTTCGGCCGCAACAAGGATCGCGACACGTGCTCTGCCGCCGAGGAGGAGATCCGAACGCTGCGTGCAGCGCTGGAGGCCGTCGAGCTCCGTGTCGCAGCGCTGGAGGCTGCGGCACGCCTTCCCGGCAAGCAGCCCGCATCCAACACGGCTGATGTCGCCACAGATACGGCTGCGGGCCAGATTGTGACCAGCGTCACTCCTCCCTCGCCGGTTGCAGCGCGTGTGGAGCCGGCGCAGGAGGCTGGCGCCGCCCGGCTCAGCGCGGCGCAGCTCTCTCGCTTGCACACGGAGGCGCACGAGGACGAGGTGACCGCCGTCGCCATCTCGCGCGGCTTCTCGCCCGCGGGTGCGTCGCGGCGCTCGGCGCCCGCCTCCGAGACGCCGCGCTTCGTCGCCGCCGGCGTCGGCGGCAGGTTTCCTCAGACATGTACCCACAGTGTATCCGCTCGTATCACCAGTGATTGCCACCACACCACACACTGCAGTGATTGCCTCCCCACCACACACTGCGCTGGGTCGATCATCTTGCGTCGCCGCACAGACCCGTGGACTGCCACACACACCGCTCTTGGTCCATCCTCTTGCCCGTGCTCTTTCTGCACCGCTGGCCGTCTGTCCTCAGGCTCCTCCTGCGCGGCGCCGACGGGAGGCCTCTTGCCCCGCCGGTAGAACTGCCAGCCGCTGCTTCGGCAGCTGCTGACGCGCAGCCGCAGAGTGCGGTGTGGTAGAGGCACGCGCCAACGCTGGAGGATGTGTTGAATAGGCCCTCTCCTTCAGCGCGGGCGGGAGAGCGCGTGCGCCAAAACTGGGCGGCCATGCAGCGTCTCTTCACGCCTCCAGCCGTGAACAGGTGGGCCAGGCCCCGTGTGGCTCTGGGCGGCCATGCCATCGCCGCTGGAAGGCGCCTTCCTGCTGCTCTCGTACCGCCCCATTCGCCCCTTCTGACTAGCGTTCCCGCTCCTTCAATCACAGGCGCCCTCGCACCGCCTCACCGAGTCACCAACTTGTCAATTCGTTGAATAATCAACTCACAGGCGCCTTCCTGCTGCACTCGTACCGCCTCGCCCCTCCACCCGAGGCGTCAGAGGAGGAGGAGGAGGCTTCGCTAGCCGACCGGCCTCTTGTCTACTCCATCAACTACCCCTCTGGCTAACAACTGATTAGGCATTCCTCCCGCTCGCCCGACGCCAGACGCCTACTCATCAATTAGCTCTCCCATTGGTTCATCACTGAGCACCGTTAGGCCTCCCTCCCGCTCGTCCTCCGGCTGGATGCCGCGCAGAACGTGTCGTGGTCACCTCCCAAGCCGGCGGCGGCGGTGGCGGCGGAGGCGGAGGAGGCGGTGTCGGCGTCGTCGTCTCTGGCAGTGAGCGAACGTGGCGGCGACCCGGCAGACGGCGGGCGCGTGGTCGCTCTGTTAGTACTCCCTTCCTCTCCCTTCCTCTCCCTTCCTCTCCCTTCCTCTCCCTTCCTCTCTTCAATCTTCCTTCCTCTCCCTTCTTTCATCAATCTCCGTCAATCTCCACTAGGCGCGTGGTCGCCCTGTTCCCCGCGCCGGCGGCAGCGACGAGGGGCGGGCAGCGCGGGAGCGCCACCAGGCTGCAAGGAGGAGGAGGAGGGGGAGGAGGGGGAGGAGGGGGAGGGGGAGGGGGAGGGGGAGGGGGAGGAGGAGGAGGAGGGTCTCTAGTCGCGTGCCGCTCGGACGGGCAGGTGGGCCTGGCCGCCGCGGGATCAGGCGTTGATTGGACAACCACTGGGCGCAGAGGAGTGAAGTAACGAATAGGTGGCCCTCATCCCCGAGGCAGCAGGCCCAGCCGCGTCCACGCCTACTAATGAGCTAACTCGTTGATTCATGGACTTTGATTTGCATTGTTTGTTAGCAGGCGGCTCCGCCATGTCCTTACCTACCGGCCTCTCTCCCTAGAAGCTCAAGAGGACACACCCTATCCCGCTGTCTTTGGCCGTGTTCAACTGTAGCCCTCAACGGACTCCGTGGGTGCTCTGAATACTCTGCACGAGACCGTCCTCCCGCCCTCATGTTGGCGCATTCACCTCACAAGCCTCTCTCGCCTTGCCGCCATATCTCTCCATATCTCTCTGTATATCTCCATCTCTCTCTGTCTCTCCCCATCTCACCGCATCTCACCGCATCTCTCCCCACCTCTCCCCACCTCTCCGCATCTCTCCGACGTAGGCCTCTCTCGCCTCTCCGCCGTCGCGCACTCCGCCACCGCTCTCGCACTCGCAGCGCCCGACCAGCTCCTGGTGGTCGGCATCGCCGCCGCTTCGTCGCCGCAGCCGTGAGTGTGAACAGCGTCTCTTCACACCCGCCGTCCGTGAACAGGCATCGCCGCCGCTTCGTCGCCTGCCACTGTGCGCGAATGCCCGCTACCGCCGGACAGTGCCATCGGCGCCCTCGCCTTCGACGCAACCTCTTCCGCACCCTTGCAGGAGCCTTCCCGGAGCCTTCTCGGAGCCTTCTCCTAGGCGCCCTCGCCTTCGACGCCGTCCTGCCCGGTCTGCTCTTCGCCGCGACACAGCAGCAGTCGAACGAAGGAGTATTCAACCGATTGGGCGCACTAATTAGGCCTGCTCTTTGCCGCGACGAGGGAGGGGACTGTGCACGCCTTCAACACGCGCGGCCGCGTCGCCGACGCCTCCTCCGCCTCGCGGCATCGCGAGGCCGGCTGTGCGTACCTCGCGTCGCTAGTTGCTGATGTACGTGTTTTGGACTCCTTAGGCCACGCAAGGCCAGCTGTGTGTTCCTCGAGTCGCTGCCCCGCGCGATGGCGACGGGGGCAGGGGCAGGGGCGGGGGCAGGGGCGGGGGCAGGGGCGGGGGTAGGGGCGGGGGTAGGGGCGGGGGCAGGGGCGGGGGTAGGGGCGGGGGCGGGAGGGGTCGGTCTGGCCGCCGTGAGGGGGCGCCTGCTGCTCGCGGCGGCGGCTCAGTGCTGCACACCAATTCATTAACGACCAGCTACAGCATAGGCACCTGCTGCTCGCGGCGGCGCGGCGGCTTGTCGTCTACAACGTGAGCGGCATGTACGGCGGCGCGCCCGCCTCGCTCTCCCAAGTCGCGCACTCCCAGCCGCTCGCCGGTGCTTTGCACGACGGGGACGGCGGCCACGATGATCCACCTTGGACCCAGAACACGCATGTGGAGGCGGCTGGTTCTCTCGTCGTGATCGCTCGCGCGGGGCGCGCCTCCTCTTCACAGCTGGCGGGTGTGAACAGGCGGCCGGCTCTCTCGTCGTGATCGCTCGCGCGGGGCGCGCGCGCCGCCGCCCAATTTCGCAATTCTCGCAGCGGGACGGCATGCACACGTCCGCGACACGTCCACGACATGTCCGAGACATGTCCCCCTCAGGCGCGTCGTCCTCTGTTCGTGTATGGGCACTGTCCACGACACGTCCGAGACACACGCCCCCCTCAGGCGCGTCGCCCACTTTCGCAGCGGGCTCGGCTACTCCCCGCCCGCCCAGCCGTGGTGGCCGCACGCCCTCGTCGCGGCGGGCGTCGTCCTCGCCTCCGTCTACTTCCAGTGCCGCCGCAAGCCCGAGCGGCGCAGCGGCGGCGCGGGCGGTGCGTCGCAGCGCGGCAGCCCGGGGCGGCGAGGCAGCCCAAGCCGCCGCACCAGCTACGGTGGCTACGGCGGCGCGGGGCACGGCGGCGCGGCGGCGCCACGGCAGCAGCTCTACGATCAGATGCAGGCGCACTCACACGCACGCACGCACGCACGCACGCACGCACGCACA